GTAAACTACTGCAAATATAATAAAATAAAATCTTTTATATGTGACCTCGTCATCAGAAACACACTACTGTATAAAAGATTACACAGTGCAGTTTATGTTAGAGTCCTTCTGCAGTTAGTGCAAGCACATAAACATGTACAGCTTTCTGTTTTCTAGAAGTTATAGAAAAGAATATTAGAACTTCTAAACATAAAGTCTGCAGACATCATTAATCAAACATATTAAAGTCTTAATAAACACTAAGGAACTACATTAAGCCCACTATTCCTTAAGAGAAAACAAGATTCTACTCAAATGTCTCCCAATTAGAGCAATATTTTTCTAATTCTCATTATAATTTAGTAGGAAACTAAAGTAAGTGTCCTTATAAGCATTATAAATCCTTTGAAAGCTTTTGGAAGCCCTTATTAATGTAATACATTATCAATGTAATATATAACATATGTAATATACATGTAATATATGATATATATAATATGTAATATATAATATAATAATATGTAATATTACATATATGTAATATATGTAATATATTATTAATGTAATACAGAGTGGATACATAAGTTAAAGTATTCAGTTCAAGATCCACTTCCTTTAAGGAAGGTTATCCCACGTCGGACCCTGAGTACACCAGGTAAAAAATGTCAATGGTAAGACTCCTCATCACTTTACTCACACCACTCACATGCAGGAGTAACTAACTAGAAGCAGAGGTGAAAAGTTAAGTTTAATGATTAAATAACCAAACAACAAGCTCCTCAAACTCATTCCTTATTCCTCAATCCTTATGCTGCCTGGACATTAACACCCATGATGGGCATCTGGCAATTCTGGGAATGAGTGCTGGAAACTTGTTGAACTTTACAACAATTACATCATTTGCTGTTGGGCTGGCTACAATGATTACCTGCAACATTCTTACCTACACTCTTGCCTCCAAGAGGAAAGAGCTCTTTACTACAAATTTACTATTTATGAAAAGACATCCTGGAGAAAGATCAAGCACTCCCTCCCATTCACCCTCAGGAAAACAAGAAGAAAGTCTGGGTTGCCAGCTTCTGGTCCCATTAAGTAATGTTTTGGGGCTTTTTTAAGGACAGCTTCTCCAGCTGTGTGTTGCAATGCTAAATTGCAGTATCTGACTTTTATGTCAAAACAAAGAAGTTCCCTGTTCTCAGTAGTTTCTCTATTACTACCAAAATAAAGGAATGAAGAGTTCTGCACTGATACATGGAAGTATTTCAAATCAGATGTAACACACAGGCAAAATTTTCCTCTTAATTAATATATTGCCCAGACATACTGAAAAATCACTTTGTAAAGCACATGCTGGGTGACAATTGTACTCAAAAGTGAAGTTTAGATGGTGGCAAATTTCGTTCAAGTGAGTTTTGCATCTCTAAAATCCAGCTCGCACATACAGAATTTACTAAGTTTTAGTTTCTTACTGGCAGAATTAATCCATTTTATATTTTAGCATCTTAACATAGATGACGTAAAGCACCTCAAATTTTAATTCCAGAAGAGCCAGGTATGAACATGAGAAGAGACTGTAATTGGAAAGGTGAGAGGTAACTGACTCATTACTGTCATTATAGATTATTTCTCGTCTCAGTGTTTTATTTTTCAGCTGTCAGTTCAACAGCTGGAGTTTCACTAACACACCTTCCTATGCCCCATTCCATCTGTCTCCCACCGAGGAAAGGAGTAATTTTCATACTCTCCTTTAGCACATTGGGAGGGAGCACTATGGCAGGGTTCTAGTTTTTGGCTGAACCCAGGGATGTCCTACCTCCAATTCAATAGCTCAGGCTATTCAGAATACAGAAGATCCAAAATAAATTTTAACTATATTTCGTTCCTTGAAAGAACTGAACCTTTACTAGTCATCACCCTAATTCCCATGGTCCACAATATTCAGGGCATATCTGCAGTGCATTCTTCTCTTCCCATTGCAGCTCTTCTTTTTAGTTCTAAGTAGATATTTCCACTGTAATGAAATAATTTGACTGTATTTTCACTTTAATTAAACATTTTTTGTAGTCCACTGTGAGAGAAACTCAAGTACCGTTTTGACTCACTGTCAAAATTAAAGCTATCATCTGGGAATGGTGAAACCCATTTGCTGGTCCTCTCGCATTTGTCTACATCACTTGATGTGGATGTAGGCGACACAACCACCAGGGCGGAGGTTTCCTCTTCTCCTGCAGTGAACTTCTGCCCTGTGCCGGGCAGGAACAGAGGCCTTCAGACACATGAGAGCATCACAGTCCTGAACAACACGGCTAAAGCATCCACCCAGCGAGCTCTGGAGCCAAGCGCAGATCCTACACGGCACCATGGGGGCTTCCCCCTCTCTTCCCACTTCCTGGGCATGTGGTTTAGCTGCTGCATTTAAACCCGGGCAGGGGAACACCTCCCAGGGTCAGACACACAGCCTCTCCCGGGACAAGGCTGCTCCCCGCCGCCGGCACAGCCGCCCGGCGCGGGGTTGAGCGGAGCGCTCGCTGCGTGACGGTCGGGACAGCCATGCCCGAAACAGAACAAAAGCAACCGCAGCCCCGAGCCGGGGCCAGACAGCCTCGGCCTCTCCTCACACACAGGTCCCCGCTCCTCCCCATCTCCCTGACGGGGAATGAGTGTCTGAAGCGGCCGGGCCCGACCTCGGAGCTGCCTCCGAGCACCGCCATCGCCCCGCGCCGCCCCACTCACCCGCTGCGCCTTCTCCCAGATCTGGTTCAGCCTCACCACCCGGAACTCTCCGGCCTCCCGCCGCTTGCCGTCGGCGGCCGCCAGTCCCTCGTTGGCCTCCCGGGAGTATTTGCTGGCCTGGCCGGCGGCAGCAAGGAGCAGCGCGGCGGCGAGGGCCGGCAGCACCCGCATAGCCGCCATGTCGAGCCGCGCGGAGAACTACAACTCCCGAGATGCCGTGCGGGACCCGCGTCCCTCCCCCGGCTGGGGACGGGAGGTCGGTGCCGAAGAGCTGTGGCGGGGCCGGCGAGGGTCGGAAATCCAGTCTGCTTTGGGTCTGGGGGGCGTGAGAGGGGTTAGGTTTGAGCTGTTTCTCTTCGTGCCGTTCTCCTCATTCTCCTCAGTGCTTGCTTCACAAAACATGCTGAATATAGCACGCTTTATGAGTAATTTCCCCCCCAACACTTGGTGTTGATGTCAGCTGTGTGAGAACAAGGGGACACAGTGGGCGAACACCACTACTTTCACCAAACAAAGTTTTCAGATATTAACACAATGTCCAAGAGTACACATAAAAAGACGAGGCAGCTCGGGGAATGGAAGAGAAGGATGGGGAGCGGTTCCCCCGTGCTCCCTTGGCGGTGGCAGAGAAGAACACCTGCAGTACCCGGGACAGCACAGAGGGATGGATGGTGGTGTGGGCAGGAGGCTTGTGGGGAATGCAGGGACACCAGGGTTGGGTTGTTCTCCAGGGGTGAAGCGTGGGAATGGCTCTGGTGTGTGCTCACACTGCAGCTCTTGGGCAGGAGAGCCGCTCCTGATGGTGCCAACCTCCCACCTCAGTGCGTCCTCCCCAGGGAGCCAAAGAGTGCAGTGGTCAACAGGCAATTTTGGGAGGGGATTAAGTCAAGCTGTATTAAGACAAAAGCTCCATGATGCTGTGAAAATGCACAGTATTTAATCCCGGGTTGGTATATTTATAAGAACCAATAGATTGCCTAAACTGTAATGAGATTTGTGAAAACAGTGCCCCAGGGAGGATTTTTACTGGACTGTTGTTTTTGCCTTGTAAGTAATATAAATGTCTTGTGTTTTCTCTTTCACATTCTTCCTAAGTCAGGGATTTTCAGTGTTATTAACCTAGAAGCTGTTGCTATAAGACTGAATTGCAGAAGTGGACAAAATTGTTGCACTATGTATTGCATTGAAGAGCAGTTGAATTGAGCTTTGAAGTACAGCAAACTGATGATACAGAAAGAAGTCCATGAGCCTTGCCCAAATCTTGTGCAGATCTACTCATCAATTTTAGGATTTAGAGCTTCTTTTAATGTCATTATTACAGTGTGTGTATGTATTCCTGAGTCATTTTGGAATACATGGTTCAATCTTGTCTGTCATTTGAAATACTGATTGAGTTTTTAGGCTCTCTGCAAATAAATTCTGTGCTCTATAAACTCCAACAGGTTCTCAATCTTCTTCTAGTATTGTGTGTATTTGTGCACAGCTTTATGCATTTGTTTGCCTGAGTTTTTGAGCTACACAAACAATTTTTAGAAACAGGGGCTGCAGCACCATTAGTTTGCTTATGTTTGCTTGTTGGATGTCATTCTCCAGTGCCCTTACCTCTGTGACCCCAAGTGACCAGTTTTTGGTATAGTTCTGTATGTCCTGGCCCAAGCAGAAGTGATGCAGAGCAGAGTGTGGCCCGGGGGCAGAGCTGGTGTCACCTGCAGTGATGTCCCACTCATGTCCCCAGTGCTGGGCAGTGGCATGAGGACAGAGGTGGTGTCAGTGGTGGGGACAGTGCTGCCTGCTCCTGCCTGCTCCTCTGGCAGCACTGTGGCACCGGGTGTGTGTGTGGGGACAGCAGCACCCAGGAGCACCAGGACCTCAGCTCCACCCCTGCAGGGGGCAGGGTAATGTAGGAGGGGGCTAGGAGTGGTGGTGTCAGGTAGTCAAAGACTGTCCTCATCCTCTAGTCTTTGGGGAAAGCATGTCAAAGAGCTGGTTGCAGATGCCCAGCAGGGCTGCCTGGCCCAGGAGATTTGTTACTGGGCTTCACATGTGCTGTGTGGACAGGGCCCCAAGAAATGGATGAGATGCCAGTGTCACCCCACAGGTATGTCTGGGTCATGCTGGGATGCAGGAGCTGAGTCCAGGCTGGAGAGAGGGAAGTACTGTGGGAGCTGTCATGGGGCCACTGAACAGTGGGTAGCAGTGAAACCAGGGAATGGGGAGGGCACGAGGCTTCCCATGGTCACTTCTGTCATGTTGGGGCTCCAGCAGGGACTTCAGAGACACCCAAAGGATTTGACAAGCCAAACATTTTATTCAAGCATTTGTGCAAGCAAAATTTAGTTAGACAAGTGTATGGAAATTGTAATAAATTTTCCCTTTGAAGAAGGATGCAGCTCAAGCACTCTTATTGCAGTCTCATGGTGGGAGTTGAGCCCACTGCCCTGGAGCAGCAGCAGGGACGAGTCAGTACTTCTAAAGCTTCATGTCCTCCAAGAATTTCTGCACCCAGCTGGCACTGGGGTCTGCACACAGCTGTGTCCCCTTCCTGGTGATCAGGCTGTTGGGAAAAACAGTGTTAAGGTGTGGTGTTACATTTTAGTTAATGGTATGCTCTGTCTCACCCCTCAAAAATGTACGGTTTATTCCAAGCCTGCGATGCTCCCCTGAAGTATCACGTCTCTGTATTCCCATTGGCCCAAGTCTTATTCTGCGCCCACTTGGAATCTCCCCGCTAAGCTGTGCGAGGGAGACCAGACCCTCTCTTGGCCCTTCTCTCTCCTAGGCTCTCCCTCTCTCCCCCTCCCTCCCCCTTGCCCCTTCTCCCTCAGAAACCATGCTGCTCCCGGGGGTGGGACCCCCAATAAACCCTCATCTAATTAGCACCCTCAGAGCCGTGTGGAGTCTCCCTGCCTGCTGGCTGTTACCAGCAAACACTCAGTTTAAGTGTTCCTTAGTGTTGCCCTCCGGGGACTCCCCAGGGAGGCCCCACAATCCAACTGCAACACTGAGGCACTCAGTCAGGGCATCAGGGCGCTTTTGCTAGGTCCTCCTGGCAGCACCCTTCCCCATCCTGGATGATCTTGGACACCTTGGGGCCCTGCCCTGGCTGGTGCACCCTGGACTCCAGCAATGTTGGGTACTTACACCACAGCTGGCCTTGGGCAGGTTTTGCTGGTCATGTAGGCAGAGCTGATCACGCTGCGAGCAACGGGGCGTGAAACGTAGGACAAGCAGCAGGGGCTGCTTTCGGCTAATGTGGGGGAAGAAAGATGGGCCCAGTGAGAACCCACACTACGGCAGAGGCTCTGCCTGTGGCTCCCAGAGGATTTGCCATCACCTGTGCTGTGTCCTCTGGGAGCACCCTGAAAACCTCCATCTCTGAGACTTAGTCCCTGCACTGGTGATGACCACCTGCTCCCAGCCTTCTCCATAGACAAGAGGGTCTAATCAGTGGGGATGGGGCTCTCTCCTGGGGAAGGAGAACCTACCATTCTTGAAAGATGGAGCACTCCTGGAGACTCTGAGATCAGCCTCAGCCAGGGAGCAGATGGCCACAAGGAGTAGAACAGCCAGGGCAGCTGCAAGGACCCTCATGGTGCTGGGAAGGCCGAGAGATCCACGAGCGAGGCTGGAGCTGGGGTGTCTGTAGGCTCTCCTCTGCACAGTAGCCCCTCCTCCCGCTGATCTCCTTTTATACCCACACCACTGGGTGGGCACAGGATTTCAGGAAATAAAATGAGTTTATCATAAATATCATGTGAGGTGAAGAAACTGCAGAAAGGGAAGTGCCAGCCACAGGCCTGCGATTTTCAGATTTGAGAGAGAACAAGTCTTATGAGGAGCAGCTGAAGGAGCTGGGTTTGTGTCGTAGTTGAGATGGTCACAATACAAAGCAACACACTCCGTTTTCAGAAGGCTGCAAACCAGATTTTATTATAGCATGCATGCTTTCTATACATTCTTACAAAACTCATAAGTTTACACTTATTGATCACAAAAGACAAACAAGGTGCTTATTGCAATAGACAGTTGCAGTTTTCTCTTATTTATCCTTCTTTCTTTCTTGGTTTCTATGTCAATGACCTTGGTAGAAAATTCTTTCAGGGTTAGACATGGATTCTCTTATCAAACTTCTCTCGGGATCGCAGAAGTCACTGTAAAACCTCTTCCACAGGTTTCTTTGATGGTAGAAGAGGAAGCTCTCCTGAGGGGCACCACTCTGCAACTTTTTGAAAGGCCTGTAGTGAGGTGGAGGTTGCTCTCTTCTCCCAGGTAACAAGTGACAGGATGAGAAAAAATGGCTTCACATTGAGCCAGGGCATGTTATGAAAACGTTATTTTCTGGAAGGGTTGTCAAGCACTGGAACAGGCTGCTCAGGGAAGTGGTGGAGTCACCATCCCTAAATATATTTAAAAGACATGTAGATGTGGTGCTTAGGGACATAGTTTGGTGGTGAACTTTGTAATGCTAGGTTAACAGTTGGGCTTGATGATCTTAAAGGTCTTTTCCAACATAAATGATCCTACAATTTGTTTCTGTGAACTTCATGGTACTGCAGGGGCTGAGGGAACACAAGCGGGGCTGGAGCTGGGGTGGCTGCAGGGTTTTCCTCTTCACAATGCTCAGTCCCTGCTGCTACTTCCCTCCTATTCACTCAGAGTTTCAAGGAGAGAAAATGAGTGCATCATGACAGGGAAATTATGCCAGGATTTCCCAGTTTTGCTGAGCTGGAGATATCAAGGAAACCACAGAAGGGGAAGTGCTTGCAACAGATCTGCAACTTTTCAGATTCCATTTGAATCTCTGGTGGGAATGGCCAGACCCCAAACCCCCAAACACAAGCCCTGCTATTGCTGCAATGACCTGTTGGCGAGAGCCAGGCTAGGATGTGAACTTTACTGACCAGAGTTCTGAGGAAAACCAGAACAAGGCTAAACACTGGAAAACAAGGAGGAAGTAGCAAGTTTCATAGCTTGTTTTCTGAGCGTGCACTGTTGGGGTCTTTAGGAATTGATTATATCCTACCTTTGTCAAGCAAGAATTTTTCTGTATTGGTGTGTCTGAGGTGCCCCCCAGCTGGCAGGTGCAGCCCCTGAGGGGATGGCACGGAGGCAGCTGGTGTCAGTGCCACACTCCCCCGGTGAGCCTGGTTATCCCTTACCCCTGCTAGTGAGAACCACCAGCCACAGGAACCACTGATGACATCATGGACACTCTCAAAATACCTAATTTCTGCAGAAATGAGCCTTTTTGGGTAAATGAGGGTCCAGTGGGTTGTTTGCAGCTGGCTACCAGAGCATCCCTGGCCTGTGTGCTGCCAGACAGGGGGCATGAAGACCCCTAACCTCACCTTCTATGTCAACTGTGTTAGCTCCTGCTGACTATCAGGGAAAAGTTGTAGAATCCCTTTTCATTGGTCCCTGTCTGGCTCAGCTTGCTGGCCTGGTACTGCAGGAGGGGAAAAGGGGGTATGTGCCAGGCAGTCTTGGAGGTGTGGAGCTTGGGGCCATAGAGTTTCAGCTCTGGGGACTTACCATTTTTATGGACACTGAGGCTGTCCTGCTGGCACAATATCAGCTCACTGGCACAGCCCAAACGGTGCCTGGAGAGAGCACCAGTGTCTCCCCCAGAACCGTGCTGGAGTGCCAGTGGGGTTAATACCAGGAACTGCATGAGGGAGAGATCAGAGCATCTTCCACAGTTCAGGGGTCTCTGCTTGCACAGTGGGGCACCAGCTAAAAGCTGCTCTGGCAGGTGCTCAGGGGGATGCTCTGCATTCACCTTTCTTCTTGGGGACCTAATACTTCATTTTTGTGGGGCAGGGGTGCGCAGGAGTATCCCACCTGCTGCTCTGGCAGCACCCACATGGACTTGAAGGTCTTGTCAATGGGGATGGAGCTGTCTTCTGGGGAGAGCATACTTGGCTTCTGGGAGGACTCAGCAATGCTGGGGTCACATAGAGAGGCCTCAGATGGAGAAATTGTAAGAAAATAAGAACATCATAATGGGGAAATATAAGTGCATCATAACAAGGACATTGTCAGGGGTACCCAGATTTGCTGAGCTGGTGAAGGCAAGGAAACCACAGAAGGGGAAGTATTAAGTTTGTTTTTCTTGGGCCAGGTCTCATAAACCCTCAAAAGAGACTTAGTGCACCCAAGGATAGCTCAGCTATTACTTTGGGGGCATAAAATAAGCAGGATGACTTCTGCTGCAGTGTTAGAAACAAAAAAAAGGTTTAATAAAAGGCAAAATAACAAACAGAAAACTTGAGCCAGGTGCAGATGTCTGCTCCTAGTAAAAACACCTCACAAAAGCACTTTAGCTCTTTTTGTTCTTTTCTACCTGATAGCTCAGGCGGGACTTGTTGGCTTCTATTCAATTAGATGTTCTCTAGTGTTTGGTGAAGTCCCTGAGGTCCTACGAGGTGGCTTTTCACCTAATCGTTGAGAGGAACTTCTGGGCTTCTTTCCTTTTTTGGCGGACAAAGGTTAGTTTTGCCACTCTGTCATTAGGGGGCACACTCCTACAGGGAAGAACCAGTCACCGTGTTGTGACTTTCAGATTCCATTTGGTTCCTGGTATGGTCTGGCCAGAACCTAAACCTCCCAAGAACCAGGCTGGTACATGCACCTCCACAACAAGAGCCCCAAAGAAAACCAGGGGCAAGGCTGGCAAAAGGGAAAAAAAGAAGGAAGTAGCAATTTTATCTATCACTACTCTCTGATTAAGAGTCCCTCTCCAGCTCTCTTTCAGGGCCTCTCTAGGTACTGGAAGCTGCTCTAAAAGCCTTTTCTTCTCCAGAATGAACAAACTGAAGTCATTCAGCAGTGAGTTACAGACTGGTCTTGTGGAGAGCCACGAAGATACCTTAAAACTGTGTGTAATCCTACTGGCTCTACTTGCACCTGCAGGTTTTTATATTTTGGATTAGGTATTAATAGTTTGAAGGCTTTTTGGCCCTATACAGATACAGGTTAATTCTTGACAAACTCTCCTGGGTTAATGTTGGGAATTGATAGCACAGGAGCTTTACAAATGAAGATGGCTTTGGAGATGCCTGGTTGTCTTTATTTGGTGACACAAAACATTCTCCGTGCCTGGCATCCATTTCTCAGTATGGTTTTGTAAACAGGGAGGGACCCTATTTCTTGTTTTAATTTCGTTTAGTAATAAGAGAGAAAGCATCTTTGTGGACCTTATACATTGATTTTTTTAGAAAGATATGTAATTCACCTTAAATTGAAGGGATTTAAATTAGAGTTTATTCAGATGTGCTTTAAGTTTTCCAGGACAAGACAGTTGGAGATACGTATCTGGACTAACTGAGCTGAGCTCTCTCACTGAAAACACAATCCTGTTTGTCAAGGGATTAGCCTGTACTTTCACTGTGTGCTGTTCTGTAAATCTCAGACCAAGGTCAGAATCAGCTTTTAGACATCAATCTTGACTACTTCAACAGGGCTAAAAGGAGCTGGATTCCTCTGATATTCTCTTAAGGCATCTGCAATAGCACACTGGGATGGAAAGTCACAGTTGTCTTAAAAACACTTAACATGCTCATCCCTCAGTGGCCTGGAGGCTGACAGCTGTACCTGAGACATTGCTGTAATCGTGCCTTCTCTGGGAAAACTCCATTTTCAGCTCAAAGAAGAGCAGGCTGCGTCACAGCTCCTGTGTCCAGGATTCTCTGCATGGGTCATTCTCACTTCCCTGTCCAAGCAAACTCAGAGAATGTGTCCTTTTTCAGCATCAGAAGCTTTATATCTGCTTTGTTCCAAATCTCAATTTAGGAAAACTACTCTGTTGTAGTGTGAATGAGACTTTTCTTTTTTCCTGTGCATTTAAATTAAGTTAATCTATATAATTGTTTTCTTTTTCTGAAATAGCTTCCTTATTTTCCTTGGATTTAATTCTGTGCATTCAAGCAGGAAGCTAAACAGTGTCAGACTAAAGAAATGAATAGCATAACATGCTGAAGAGATGAACTGGGGAAGTGCTTGTTTTTACATTCCCTTCTTGCCTATGACTTTAATGCGAATTACTGGAACATCAAAGAGAATTAACTAGTTTGGAATTTATTTTAAAATATGTATTCTTATAAAGTGGATAATTTCCTCTATGTACTTAATTTTAGTAGAAGAACAAAGCAAGGGTTGGAATAATATTATTACAAAATATCCATCTAGAGTAGTAAATTTTCAGAAGTTATAACAGCTTACTATCGCTGTTTTCTGCCTGAAGTTACTTTCTCAGCTGAATTGATTAGGGCTGATGCTGAAGATAAGCATATCAAAACTAGCTTATCAATTCTGCCCTTTCTGAAATGCTCTTTGCAGCTGATTAAACTGAACCATGACTTGTTTTGAGAGGAAATGAGGCATTCACTGGCATTCTCATCTCTTTAAGTCCTCCTGAATGCAGTTCTGCATGAATTTTGGTAGAATGGGTCAATCCATCTTTGCTTTCTATCCAATTCTCAGCATATACTCATAAAGGCTGTTTTCATTTTTACATTTTTTAATTGTGCAGGGAGCAAGGATTTTTATGTGGAATCTTGACTTGTTTCAAATGTCAGGAAAGGAAAGGAAATCTCGTGAAACAGAAAAGACATCCGAACACACTAGAAAGGAGACACGATCAAATGAAATGCAAT